AGAGAGAGAGAGAGAGAGAGAGAGAGAGAGAGAGAGAGAGAGAGAGAGAGAGAGAGAGAGAGATTTGCGACTTTGAGATTTGACGACATTTGGAATCCCACTCGACATTGGGATAAGACATTGGATGGGGGGATTATTTGGGATCTATGTCGAAGACTTGGTGTTGACGACATCCTCGTCCTTCCCTTCCTCTTCGTCTGATCCCCCTCCTTTTTGTCTGTGTATGATCTGAGCCTGGTGCATTCCTCCTGTGTGCAGCGCCAGGCCCTTTCACACCTTGCGATGATGATGATGTATGTTTGGTCTGCAGTACGACATTGATTGGTCTGATCATTGGTATTTTAGCCTTCCGCTGCGCTATCCTGTACTATGAGAGAGAGGTCGGTTCTTGTTCTGGTCTGCACCATTACGGTATGCGACAGTTTGGTATCGGAGCGGACCTCTCAATCAGAGGATCTGCCCAATCACGGAGCCAGCTTGATTGATTGATTGATTGATTGTTTATTGGTTAATCAAGTAGGGCTTCGTCAAATCCCTGCAAAAAAAAAATTCGCAACAAATCTCCGGAATGTCAGATATTAGCATTTCGTTTTTTTTTACTCTGGGCATATTAGGTGAACTAGAGAGGTTGTCATATTCTCGGAAACTGGATCTATTCTTCTCTGAAAGTGGAACCTCCATTCTATTTCGCACAATTTTTTTTTTTTTCAAGATCGCATTTTTTGACAGCGAAATTTTGCGAAGCCTTGCCTATATCTCACTCATAGCACTCCTCCGTAAGAGCCTCACTGATAACCGATCGACAGAAATTAAAAAAAAAAAAAAAAAAAAAAAGGTTGGGGGATCCTCTTCTTTTATTTTTTTTTTACTGGACCGGGAATGGAAAGTGCAGTTTGGTTACCTTCCTGCGTTTCCCTCCCACCCAGCCCTTTGCCTGCGTTCCCGGTTTGGTAAGTGCCATGTCAGCAGCAGTGCCACATCAGCAGTGCCACGTCAGTAGCAGCACCACGTCAGCAGTGCCACGACAGCAGCAGTGCCACGTCAGCAGTGCCCCGCCACCATGACGGTTTCAGTTTTCAGCATGCCAGGCCAACTGGCCAGCGAGTCCATTGCCGAGTTCCGACAGCGGATCCAAGATCAGCTCGCACAGATCGAGGCTGAGGCTGAGGAACAGTGCCAGGCGGCAGTCGAGGCTGCCCACCTGCAGGCTGAAGCGGAGGCAGCGGCTGAAAAGCAGCAACTTCAGGCCGCAGCTGACGCAGATGCCCAGGCCCGCCGCAAGCAGGCCCAAGATCTGTTGCAGCGGCACGAAGCCGCCAGCGTCAACAGGCTCAAGTTCTGGCACTTTGAACCATCCGAGGGCCATGACGATGCAACACCAGAAGAGCAGCACAAGGAGTTTCTCTCCAAACTCGTGACCCGGGTGGTTTACACTTGTAACCACCTGCAGCCTGAGTTAGAGAAACAGCACCAGGAACTGGAGAGTCTCTGACAGGCAGTGCCGAGCCACAAGGACCTGCACAAGGATGCCACACAGGCCCTTCACACCAGTGTACAGGACTTGGAGCAAGCAGCACCAAGACCAGATGCTGGCGAACCCAGCAATGCAGCCTCAACCCGCCAGTTGGAGCAATGACTCGACCATGTACTCGTGATGCTCGGCGACATCAGCACTTTCGTCGCACCAGCCTCCATCAGCGAGCAGCTCGACATCTTGAAGAACGAGGTTCAGCAACTACAGCAGCCGCCTGACAACGATGGCAGCACCAGTGCATCGCGGCAGTACAAGATGCCGACGTCCCGGATCGAAAAGTTTGATGACTATACACATCAGGACCCGGTCCCCTGGTGGCAGGGTTTTACGACGGAGCTTCGGCTTCATCGGGTCCCCGACCACTTGTACATCTCGACGCTGTTCCTAAACGCCAAGGGCGGATGCCAGGTCTGGCTTAGACACATGGCAACCATCCATGGCGTCCAGGTCGCCGACCTGCACCAAAAGATCTCTTCGGAAGATCTGACAAAGGAATGGAAGAAGCGGTTCATTGTTGACGACGCCCCGGCGCTCGCCATCAACCGCCTCTTCGCCATGACTCAAGGCAACACACCGACACGCGACTGGCTCACGGAATGGCAAAAGATCGTGGCAACACCCGATCTCAACTTGCCATTTTCGCATCTGCGCTGGGAGTTCTACAACCGGTCGTGTGCCGCCTTGAGCCTCGCACTCGGTGATCGCGAACAATACACGACCTTCGCCGAAATTATCGACAAGGCTCGTGAGATCATCAAGACCAACCGGGCTGCTGCACACGAGAAATCTGCATGGCAGCCAGCCTATGTGGAAAAAGGAAAATTTGGTCCGCGTCCGCAGCCCGTCGCTGCAGTCCAACTGGACAACCTTGTGGAAGACCTGGCAGTCACCCCAGCATCACGTGAGGGAGATCAGGTGGCCGCCGTCCAGCCGCAGAGCAACAACAACTCCCATGCAAAAGGGAAGGCGAAAACAGCATCGCCGGCCGGAAACGAACAGCCAGTACCATGGGTCAAGTTCAACTTGACCGAGGCCAAATACAAGTGGCACAGCCGGTATGGCTGTTGCTATTGGTACAACAGCACCAAGCACAAGACCTCCCAACACCAAGATCAAGGCAAGGAGGATGTTCATCCTCGAACCAGCTAGGGAAACTGAGCCACACAGGAGGTGAGGCCTCCACCTCTCACTCCGCTAGATTCAGCCGCCTTGCTAGCGGCCTCCTACACATCTGGGGAGAATGCGGATGCGGTCCACTTACGAGGATTACGCTGTCCACTTGGTCCCACCGTTGGACCAGCCACTCCACATGCAAGACTCCACCGCACGCACGGTTTCATCACCATCGGCAACCGATTCGGCAGCTTCACCGCCAAATTTCGCCACAGATTCGACGTCATGGTCAAGACTTGAGAAACTCGACCCGTTGACATTCGTGGACTTCCAATGGATGCCCCTTCCCCCCGACCGGTCTATTGTCGAAACCGCACTGCAACGCGCTCATGGCACAATTGCGAGATTACTTGCACACTGTAGTACCAACTCCATTGATGGACGCCGGAGTAGGGGTTGTTGACCTTCGTGACTACCTTGCGAAGATCGACCGCGAGTTTAAGACGCGGTACGACAACAACGACGCGCCATTGTTGTACAGACGCATTCAGATCGGAGAACCGACCTGCAGCGCTTTGATCGATTGCGGAGCTACTCACAACTATATGAGCCAAGATTTTATGGTACGCGCTGGCCTGGGGCCACGAGTTCGAAGGAAGTCTCAACCAACGCAAGCCACGTTGGCCGACGGTCACACGCACAAGTCAATCGACCGGTGCATTGATTTTGTCCCCGTGTACTTCGCCCCACATGCCAGGGAGGCCGTGTCCTTCAACATTTTGGACACCAAGTTCGACATGATTTTGGGCATGTCATGGCCACAAAGTGAGGATCACCCGATGAACTTCTACCGCTCCACCGTTCACATTTGTGATATGAATGGAGTAGTAGTCCCATGCATGGTGCCTCCACCTCACCCTTCGATCAGCTGTCACGTGGTGTCCGCTGCGAGCATTCGAGCTTCCATCACCCGGGACGATGTCGAGGAGATGGGTGTGTGTTTTCTCCACACCCTCCCTCCCCATGACATCCCATCGACGGACGCATCAATGGACCCACGCATCACTAAGCTTCTAGACACCTACGGTGACGTTTTCGAAGCCCCGCACGAAGTCGTACCAGATCGGCCAATCTGCCATGAGATCATCCTCGAGGCCCACGTGGTTGCATCTACCGCATGAGCGAGGAAGAGTTAAGTGTGCTACAGGCACAACTCTACGATCTTCTCGAGAAAGGTTGGATTCGCCCTAGCTCTTCGCCATACGGCGCTCCCATTCTCTTCGTCCGGAAGAAGAACGAGCACTTGCAGTTGTGCATCGATTATCGCAAGCTAAACGCGCAAACCGTCAAGAATGCCAGCCCTCTTCCGCGCATCGACGACCTCCTCGAACAGCTGGGCGGCGCAAAAGTTTCCTCCAAGCTTGACCTCAAATCGGGATATCACCAACTCGATATGCGGCGGGAGGACCACTACAAGACCGCAAGACGCGATATGGGCATTTCAAATGGCTGGTTATGCCTTTTGGCCTTACGAATGCCCCGACCATGTTCCAAGCGGCTATTACGACAGAGTTTTGACACATGCTGGACAGATTTGTACTCATCTGCCTCGACGATATCTTGGTGTACAACCGGAGTTTGGACGAGCATGGGAGCACTTGCGCAACGTTTTGGAGCGGCTACAACAAGCTAAGTACAAAGCCAACCGCGACAAATATGAATTCGCGCGACAGGAGCTCAATTACTTGGCCATTATGTGATGCCGCAAGGCATGCGTCCGCTCGCAAATAAGATTGAGGTCATCCGCTTATGGCCCAAACCCACCAACACCACATACGTTTGCTCATTCATGGGGTTGGAAGGCTACTAGCAACGCTTCATCACCGGGTACTCGATAATTGCCACACCATTGACGAGACTACAATCGCCAAAGGTGCCATTCGTATTCGACGACGAAGCGCGCCGGTCATTCCAAGCACTCAAGACGGCCATGCTCATGGCACCCGTCCTTAGCATCTATGACCCCACCTTGCCAACGAGACCGACAACCGACGTCTCTGACTATGGTATTGGGGCAGTCTTCGAACAACACGACGACGACGACTGGCGTCCCGTGGAGTACTTCAGCCACAAGGTGCCTCCCATCAACTCACTTAATGATGCAAGGAAGGAGCTGCTCGCGTTCGTGATGGCTCTCAAGCGATGGCGACACTTCCTCCTTGAGCGTCGTAGGTTCACATGGGTCACTGATAACAACTCGTTGACCTGCTACAAGACGCAAGATACGGTGAGCACGAGGGATATATTTCATCGACCAATTTGACTTCACACCGAAACATTTCGCCGGCCTCTCCAATCGCGCAGCAGATGCACTCTCGCGAAGACCCGATCTTTGCGCTATGACACATCATGCCTTCACGTTCGACGAGGAACTCCAGCGGCACTTCATTCGGGGGTACGAGTTTGATCCGGAATACACCACAGTCTATGCGCAGCTATCTTCGGATCACCCGTCGGCCAGCCACTATCGCATCGTCGACGGGTACTTGCTTCTCCACTCGCGAGGCAAGGACTTATTGTGTGTTCCACGAGACCGTCGTCTTCGGACTCGCCTTCTCGGAGAGTACCACGGCTTGCGACTCGCCGGCCATTTTCGAAACAATCGGACTGTCGTGCGACTTAAGCAATGATTCTGGTGGCCCAACGTCATCACCAACGTCACGAGATATTGCGATTCTTGCGAAGTTTGCCGACGAAGCAAGCCCCGCAGTCGCAACCCTTACGGCGAGTTGTGCCCGTTGCCCTCTCCATTGCTATGGACATCACCGGCCCGTTTCCCCATGATCGCTTCGGGCACAACGGCATCCTCACGGTCGTTGACCGTTTGAGTAAGTTTGCGCGGTCTCTTCCATGCAAGTACTACACCACGGCTCCCGAGCTCGTGCCGCTCTTGCACACTGGTTGGATCTGCAGCCAAGGTGTTCCGGAAGACAACGCTAGCGACCGCGACACTCGGTTCATGTCAGCATTTTGGACTTCTCTCATGAAGGAGTCCAGCACCAGAATGAAACCAAGTTTGGCTCGGCACTCACAAACGGACGGGCAAACGGAGAGAGCACATCAGACTGCTCAAATGATGCTTAGTACGCTCATCCGTCGTATCAGAAGGACTGGGTTGATCGCCTCCCCAACATCAAGTTCGCCTACAACACTTCGTTGCATCCGGCGATCGGCGTGATTCCATTCGAGTTACACCACGGTGGTCGTAAAGGCCGTATCTTCGCTGATCTTCTCCTCCCACGAACTGCCCACATAGATGCCGCTTGCTCTCCCGCCTCCGTCCGGAAGTACACGGAATTGCTGACTCAAGCCCGTGTGAACATGCACAAGGCTCAAGTTCACATGTAGCACCAAGCCAACGGGCGTCACACGCCATGTCCCATCCGCGTCGACGATCTTGTTGGGTCTCCGCGGAAGAGTTTACGCTCGAACAGGATGTTTCACGCAAGCTACTCCCTAAGTGGTTTGGACCATGGACCGTCCTTTCAGCCGCAGACGACAAGCCCGACGGCCCATCCTTTGTGATTGACATCCCTGCGCATTTGGCGGTTCATCCACTCTTTCATGCCTTGAAGCTGGCAACATACACACTAGCCAAGGACGATGACTTCCCGGACTGACGATCGCAGGACCCTCCCTCCACGGATGGTCATCAGGAGATCGATCGCGTCGTCATGCACTGCAAGTACGGCAACAAGCCGATGCAATACAAGGTCTCATTCAAATGGTGCAACCACAACGACACAAGGTGGATTTGCAAGCATCTGCACCGCTGATCTATGCCGACTACGAACGACGAAGACTAGCTAAGGAAGCTTCACAACCTGCCCCTCCCACCCGGACTTTGGTCCCTCCCTCCGACAAGCAGCTTCGCACTCGCAGGTAAGCTCAATCTTTCAAGGAGGGGGGGGGGGTGTGGCATACTGCGCACCACACGGGCCCCGCAGGGCCCGACCAGGCGGAATAAGAATAAGTAAGGGCCCACCAGGCCCTGCGTCAGTTCAGCCTAAGAAGACGGGCCAATTTTAGGCCCTCTTAAAGTCAACCCGGTTCTGAACTTAGGCGCCAGACCAGGGATGAGCGCAGGCCATTTTTAGGCCCTTTTCAAGAGAACGTTTTTTTTAACTTGGGCGCTAGGGACTGGCACCATCCGACATTGGCAACAGCAGCCTGCCAGCCGGACCAGCGCTATATAGTGCTGGTCCACCCGAGAGGCAACAGGCAGTCAGGAGGCAGGCTTCGACACTCGGCAGCAGCACTCGGCGGAGCGCTGCAGTTGTAGGAGATAGGATTAGTCTTCAGCGCTGGGCGCTCAAAGTAGCGTTAGAGAGAGAGGAGAGTGGCGGAGGCCAGGGACACTTACCTGGGAGCTTGTGACGCCATAGCTCCAGCTTCGTCTTCGATGTACCTCTAGCAAGGCGCCACCTTCACAGGTTAGTATCTGACACCGAGAGAGAGAGAGAGAGAGAGAGAGAGAGAGAGAGAGAGAGAGAGAGAGAGAGAGAGAGAGATTTGCGACTTCGAGATTTGACGACATTTGGAATCCGACTTGACATTGGGATAAGACATTGGATGGGGGGATTGTTTGGGATCTATATCGAAGACTTGGTGTTGACGACATCCTGATCCTTCCCTTCCTCTTCGTCTGATCCCCCTTCTTTTCATCTGTGTATGATCTGAGCCTGGCGCATTCCTCCTGTGTCTAGCGCCAGGCCCCTTCACACCTTGCGATGATGGTGATGTATGTTTGGTCTGCAGTACGACATTGATTGGTCTGATCATTGGTATTTTAGCCTTCCGCTGCGCTATCCTGTACTATGAGAGAGAGGTCGGTTTTGTTCTGGTCTGCACCATTACGGTATGCGACAGCTAGTCTACTGTGGCTAGTCTTCAGTTACTGAATATATTGATAGAATCAAAGGCAGTTGCCAAAATCATAGGCTTGATCAGGTCTGGTTGTTCATTATCTAGTGGCTAGTCTTCAGTTGCTGAGCTAATTGCAGCTAATTGCAGAATTTATTGATCCTCAGAATTGGTTATGACCTTGTTACAAGTTTGGGTACAGTGGGTAGTGGGACTAGTTGGTAGCTCATCTCAGGCCCCCTAGGGTGAAGAGGTCCCATCTTTGTTGTTCGCCCAGAAAGTTTCTGAACTTTGAGTTGCCTCAAGATTTATCCAGTGGAAGGGACGCTTGACCCGGTTTCCAGCAGGTGCAGCTCCCCACCAATAGAAAGGAGCCATTGAAACCTCGCCGGCTTCTACCCTCTGAGGCTCTTACCACCCAAGGAATAGAAGACAATGGCTGCCTTCCTCGCTCCTCCGACTACTAACAACACAGGCACTGTTGCTCTGCTCCCTTCCTCTGCGTCTACAGCTGTGCTGATTCCAACTCTCAGACATTCTGGAACCCGCAGTCCCGCTGACAAATATGCACCGTCATTGTCTCCGAAATCCGAATTCCCGTGCACACCACCGGACAACCTGTCTCACTCTCTCGCTCCCTCCGTCGCTCTCTTCTACTCCATACGTGTATTTCTTTGTCTCTCCGTCTTAATTTTCTTTGATCTCGTCGCCGTCACCGTGCTCGTTCTGCTCACATCCACCTGTTTCCGTAGTGTCCCTGTCGTGCACGCGTGCAAGGTTTCCTGATATCATAATGACTCAACTCCATCAACGCCCGACTTGCTTGCTCGAGGAGCATGTTCCCGAGTGCGATTAAAATCCAAGCGAACTGAATGGGGCCCAAGCCGTCTGAGACATGCTTATACGACGTCGTCGTAAATTCGTGCTCCCAGGGTTCTTCGTTCCCACTGATATGAACATCCCAACCCCTTGCTGCCCCGACGTTGTCGTTCGTCATAACATGTGTGCAGCTGCTAAATCGTTCTCATCTACGCTATCAAATTCGCTAAGGGATTATAGTCGCTCCGCAGCTCCAGCGCAGAGAGAAAACACCGCGCGGATACCAATCGGGAGGCAGGAACTTCTCTCATCTATGTTTTTTGACATCAGCGACGGCATCTATGTCATCGACCGTTGGATTTCCGCACCTGCCCTCACCTCACCCGAGAGAACGCTACACATCCTACGCGAGTCTCGGGTTTCAGACAACCGTCCACGAACATCAAGAGCGTAGCCGTGCCTACCCGCTCAACACTTTGTATTGGCCTTTTTTTTTTTCCCTCGTCCGTGCCATGGTCCGCCAAGTCCCTGGCCGATAGATAACTTCACACCGGCAAACCTTTCCCGCATCTTTCTGACATTCCATTGAGGTGATCCTTTTTTTTTTTTTGTCAATGCACTACCCCGCTTCAAGGCCTAACCTTGACTAACAAACAGCAACGGTAAGCGGAAACCGGGTCCCCGACTCTCCCCACCCGGTTCTTCGAATGAGGCTTAACACCTAAGGTTCCCTGTGAGGCTGACTGTTTGTCACCTCCACATCGTCGCTAGGATTGGGCAACGCTTCCCAACGTTTTCTGACATACCCTGCCTGTGATGATTTGTTTTTATCTGACATTCCCTGGCTCCAATGATTTGTTTTTATCTGACATTCCCTACCTGTGAAAAAATTTTAATTTTTTTTCACTTTTCTACCTTCTGCAAAAGAAAGAAAAAAACTTGTTCCTTCGTTTGTTCGTCTCCGTTATCTTCTTGTTCGTGTAATTTTTTATGGTTCTTTTTTTTTGGCCCCAAAGTTTATTTCTTCAACCTCCGAACCCCTACCGCTTTGCTGTAAACCCCTCCAACAGATTACCGACGAAAAAGCAATCCTTACCCAAAAAGCGGCCCACAACTCTCCTCACCCCTTTCTTACAAAGCGCTTCAACGGCTGAGTTCGATAAATACCACTAGCAGGATGTCCTTGCCACTGAGCTCAAGATCTAAGGCCTCCCATTCGTTTCCGTGTCCAAAGTACCCACCTAGACAGAAAGCAGCATGCCCGATACCACTCAACGCATTCGTACTGCAAACGCCAAAAGCGGAGTCCCACAAATACCACTAACGACGATGTGACTGCTGATCTCGCAATCTACCGCCTCAGACTCGTTTCTGTATGCAAAGTACCGACGTACACCGAAAGGCGCATTCCCGATACGACTCCCGGCATTCCAAGTCCAAACCCGCAAAACAAAGTCCCACGAATACCACTAACGGGATCCCATGCCGCTGATCTCAACGTCTACGGCCCCACATTCATTTCCGTCTCGAAACTAAGCAAGCTACACAAAAAATCGCATGCCAGGTTCAACGGTTCCCTGGCCGCTCAGATCTTGGGATCTATGGCCGTCAGCAAAGTACCCACCTACACAAAAAGCACCATGCCCTATACGACTACAATAACCCAAGATGACGACCTCAGCCTCGAACACTCGTCCGGCATTTGCAATACATGCCGAATTTCCACCCGCTGCTGCCAACTTCGGATTCTGCCACCCTCTGACACCCCCACCCCCTCATCATTTCATCATTTCATCAACTTCTCATTTTCTTCACTTTTTCTGGTTTTTTGTTTTCCAAAACTGCTGAATATTCGAAGTACGCCCATGGTGCGCATTTCCCATGTTGCAAGAGTAGCGTCGCGGATTCCAGCTCAGCACGCTCTTTCAGGAGTCGCAAAAGCAAAGCAAAGAAAGACCCACAACCGCAACGCACTGACGCAAAAAACACGATGGGCAACTGCAATCAACGAAACTAAAATTTTACATCCAACGTTTCAAAGTCCACGATCTTCATTCACATCCAACGCATCCAAATCCTTCATCCCAGACACACCACAACGTGGCAGCCATACAGGGGTGGGACACTTTTAGATGAACCAGCATGCTCCGATCCACATCGCACGCCCAAAACACACTAGTCGGGGCCACATGCACGGCCCGCCCACGGCTGGAGAACTTAGTAGGGTGGGGGATTGACGACCCGTAACAGTAAGGAAGGCGTTTAAACCACTAGTACCTTTGCCGCGTGGGAAAATAGCGGGCCTCASGTGGGCCTCCGACCTTTTCGGATGGCCGAAACGAAACGACGGCCGCCGATCAGATTTATCAATGGCATCCGTCGTCGGGCCCGGCCTCCGAATTTTCAGGAGTTTGGATAATTTCCCAACACTGGGCGAGGTACTAGTGGTTTAAGAAAATGGCCATAATGCATGATGAAAACGCAGCGACAATGAAAGCAAGGCACATTTAGGGCCTACTCACACTGGGACCTTTTTGACTGATCTCTGGATGCAATTACCATCAGATACACCCAGGGAAGCTGCAATGTAAGCATGCACTTCAACCACCAGTACCTTTACCAGCTATTTTATTCTGACGCAGCAGTTAACATGCAGTGTTAACAGGGGTTCGGTCTACCAGAAGAAAATGGCTGGCGGCGCCAGGCAAAACGAAAATGTATTTTGCACCCACATCTGCTTGTTATTTGTTGGCAAGCAGGAACAATACGGGTCACGAAAAATGGGCTCACAGGGACTCATGGTTTAATGCTTGCTGGACCTCTCATTCTGACCATGTGTACTTACATAGCAATGCTTGCCTTGCCGCTGATATCTCTCCTCTCTCATGTTTGCTACAACTCCACCAACCAGCACCCCTCTGTACTCCCCGACCTGCATTGATAGACGAAAGAAGAGCAGACCATCCGTGAGATTGCCACAAAGGGTGGTCAAGGGGGGTTAGAACGTGACAAGCAGGGGGCCAAAATCCGTAGCCGGATATTCCTGTATGTAATAAACGCTATTTATGCTGGCTTTGATCCGACACCAGATTCGGACGGATCTGTGTTGAGACGAGTCCAGACAAGAACCTGGACAACCGAACATGCAGGACTGTCTGGATAGGCGCACGGGCGTCTAGTTCCATCTGGGTACAGAACAAATCCAAACATATACATTTCAATCCTGACGATATATAGATATGTATCACCACCACCACCCCCACAAACAACGACCACCCCCACAAACCACCACCACCACCACCACCACCGCCACCACCATCAGCGCCACCCACCACAACCCACCACCACCACAGTGACATGTTCACAGGCTCCTTTATGGAGATACCTATTCCATAGTTGCCTGGATTGTTCATTGGAACTCGGAGCTGGCAACCACTTCGGGTGGAACAGGGAGGATGAACTCACTATTTCGCCATTCCTTATCGCTCTTCTTGCCATCAAACCCCAACCATGGATCGCAGATTGCCCAAAGCATAGCCGCCTTGACTCTGATTTCTGTGAGACAAAAGTCCAACGAGCTGGCATTCAGAGAAAGAGAAGGATCAAGCATGCCTTGAACATAGAAAAGGAAGAAAAGCAAGAACATAACACACTGGATGGAGGCCATGAACCACATGAAGGACTAACCAAGATGAGGAGAGGCCATTTGACAGGGCGTGAATGAAACTGTAGGGAGAAAAGGCATTTGTTTGCACATAAGAGCTTTATTTGCACACAAGAGAGACGTGATAGACGATTGGTATAACAATTACCTGCATCCATTTTCTTTGTACGGCTGTTCGTAACATTGGCTACGCAGCTGTACTAACTAACGAGTACTATGTGGGAGACCCTGGACATTATGGCCAGAAAGAATCCTCAAGTTTGGCATGACGTTGTAGGCAGACTAAGGAATCGAGCTCAGAAGCCTCTGGACATTATCGGCGGAAAGAAGCGTCAACTTTGGTGCAACGTCATATGAGACTGACGCAGTAAGAGGTCCAATGCTTCAGAAGATTTTGAATGACCTGCAATCACGATGTACCAATCGTTCTGGTTAAAATTTCACCATGGTTTACACCATGGCAACAGCGGACCCGGACCAGGACATGTCTGGACCGAGGCGCAGACATTTGTCTGGACTGGTCCAGACGTCCGGTAATCCAGACAGGCACCCGACAACCGGACAGCACCGGACCCGGACCATCCGGACCAGTACACCAGACACAAAAATGTCCGGACCGAAGAAAAAAAAAAAAAAAAAGAAGATTTATAAACAGTTCTAACCACAGCTTACTGTCTTTCACTATTCACAACTTGACAGCTCAATAGAGTCAACACTGTCACAGACATTCACAAAGGCTCGCACAACACTTGAAACCAGTTCTCAACAGACCAATCCCAAGACACTTCAGAAAAGAGTATGAAAATCAGAAAGAAACAGAACTTGGAGCTATGAAGACTTCTTTATGATTCATATTCATATGAAAATTGAAAATTTAATTTGTTTGCGTAAGAACAGATCTGAGATCTGGTCAGGACCAGATCTAAGACGGGATCTCAGATCTGACCGAAATCATCTCTCTCTCTCTCTCTCTCTCTCTCTCTCTCTCTCTCTCTCTCTCTCTCTCTCTCTCTCTAGAGCTTGATGTTCTGTGGCACTTTGCAGCCAGCGCTTCATTTTCGGAATCAGACTCATCCTCATCCGATGAACTACCAGAGTAGTACAACAGCAGAGGGAGCTGTTGGAGGCGTCTGGCGGAGTCTGGTAGGCCCTGGAACGGCCAAAAAATACCGGGGGCATGTTTTGGGGGCGGCCTAGGACCTGAAAAACGTCCTAGGCCCCCCCCCAAAAAAATTCGAAACTTTCAAAATTGGGCCCAGTCCAGACCTACCAGACCAGACACCGGACCCATACCCAGACAACCAGACCGTCTGGATTCCGGTCCCGACGTCCGGCCGGTTGCCATGGTTTACACATGCGTCTAGCGAAGGGACTCAGCTACCATTCAGGCATCTGAAAATTTCTCTTTTGGACTGGACTGGTTCCATTTTTATAAGACTTGCACGGGATTTTGATGGGACTTGGGACCAAGGGCTACCTGGAGAAGTCTCATCAGCTCTACTCGCAGCGGACTTTACGTTTATCTGATTCTCGTTGTTTAGCATTCAACGGCAGATTATTTGAACCTCGAGCATTGCCTCAGTGTACTTGGCAGAAGGGCAACTCTATCAGGTGTGACTGTGTTCACAAAGTGTACCGTATGTGATATGTAACACATTGTACACTTCCCTCTAGTGAAACGGTTTTCACCCTTTTTCAGTAGCGGGTGTAGATCCCACGGCTCGATCCCTAGACCTCACTACCTGTGTACAGTACCCTTGTGTGTGTTTGAACCCGTAACCTGTGTTTTAGGGGCCAGTAGTAGTCTGTCGTGGACCTGTGTGTCCGTTGGGTCTTGAACCATAGATCTGTCGCATAGGGGTCAAAGTTGATAGTAGAGGTCGTAGCTGTAGGAGTCCTGAAGGGTCAAGGTCGTAGCTGCTACATTCCTGAAAGGTCAAGGTCGTAGCTGATACAGTTTCGAAACGCCAAGTCCACAGCCTTCCGGAAGGTCCGGAAGTGGCCTTTCGAAGATTGCCCACAGCAGACCAGAGGCAAGTGGGCAAGTGGTAAACCCACTGCACCGAGTCAGCAGTGCGACTGCACTGAGTCAGTGGTACCATCCCATGCAGTCAGCGGTACCCAGTCCCAGTCTCCCCTAGTCCAGTCAGCAAGTACCATGTGGGACTGTGTGCACCAAGGGCCCGGTGGAAAAGGGCAGACCAGCCACGAACAGAAGTATAAATCAGGAAGCAGCGTCCAGCCATTCATTCATTCGCTGCGTAAGCCATGCGGAAGCGCTGCTACAGCGTCTTGTGCGAAGGTGGTCTGCAGGTTGCCCGAAGACGAAGTGGGCTGAAGGGAGATCGTAGCCTTAGTTAGTAGTGGTAGTGCGGCCATAGCCGCTGCAGGAGGAAGTGAGATTAAGTGTGTGTGGTGGTATTCAGGGTGATCCAGAGTGAGCGTGTGTGGAACAGTGGGGTTGGACACAGTGACGAAGGTTGGGATGTTCAGGCGCCGATGCGCCATAGCCTGTGGAAGTGAACTTGCATCTGAACTGTGTTCTTGGTTTCCATATCTCTAAGCTTTGAGTGGGCGCCCTGCGCCAGTGTGAATCTCCATCTGTTTGCATGTATGTGAAGTGGAAGTGAAAGCGAGTCTGATTGCACTAGTGAAGATTATAGACGATTCTCTGTTTGCTTCTTGTTTTCCTATTTTATTTGGGCCCTTTCCGAATCGATGTCACCATCCCCTTCTCACTGTGTGCTGTCTCAGATTTAATGGATGTTGTGGACGGACACGCGTCCGGATTCCGATATCAGACGGTGAGGAGAAAACTCAGACAAAACAAGAAAATCATCACTGCCAGTGGAGAATCGATCACACTGATGCTTCCCAGGCCTCACTCGACCATTTACCACATGCACAAAAGACAAAACTATGGTCCTGTATCATTCCATGTTCGAGAGGAAGATTCATCCTCATTTTGCAGACTTGGTGAGTGGTGGAGCGAGTCCCTAGAACAGAGCCACCGTGATCAACGGCATTCATCATAGGCCACAGGAGTTCTGGAGCACTGTGCATCTGATCCTGAGAAACAGTCAAAAGGGGCCAACCAACCACCCCCTGATTGACGGGTGTTGGAAGCACATGCATCCGAACTTTCCATAAAGGAGAGATTGCTATGTAATCACCGGCTCCAGGTTGTGGCGAGCACAAATAAGATCTCTGATAAAGGGACAAAAATAGCCAAAAGGGCCAAAACCAGCAACAGCGTGTGCAGCAGATGGTTGATGGAGGGATGGGAAGCAAACCTGAGCAATTTCTAACCGAGCATGCAGTGAAAATCCCTCTTCTTCATTCTGTGTTCCAGGCTGAAAATTTTGCACAACGGAGAAAATGAACACAGTAACACCCCATCAGTACCAAAAACCTTTTTTTATAAATATAAATTAAACAATTATGAAAAGATCACAAGAAAACAATACCAGGTAAAAGAACGAAAGGAAAAGAAGAAATTTCACGAAGCTCTGTTTGATTTGCTTGCAGAGTTCACAGAGCCAAACATGTGAGAATGCAGTAACATTACAACCTCCTGTGTGTGTGGGGTGGCGGGGGGTGGGGAAGGGCAGAGTGAGGAGAGAGGCAGTGTACAGTGCTGCTCGTACCCGAAGACTTTGGATCTGTTCCACTGTGTGCCAAGATATTCCACGTACACGATAAGGAACAGGTTGCCTCCTCGAAGCCTGGAAGAACCCAGTTCAAAAGAAACACTGAAAGTGAACAACAGCACATAATCATCATTTAATAATGGACCTTTTAAAGAATCCCCTATGATTCTCTTTTTCCTTTCAGCAAAAAATAAGCAGGCTTGACTTGCCAGTGGAAAAGGAACCGGACTGCTGCTCCCCTAGTTTTTCTTAAAAGAAAACAAAAAAGAACCGGACTGCTGCTCCCCTAGTTTTTTTATTTTTATTTTTGGGGTCCAGAACCCCTAATAACATCACCAACAACCCCATAGCAGCCCCCAATACCCCCATAAAACACCCCAACACCCCCAAACTGCCCCCAAGTTCCCCCCAACACCCTTATTAAACCCTCCATAATCCCCTATATCATGGTTATACTCCCCCTACACTCCAACCCATACCTGCGGCACATCGTTTGCGCGCGAGCTCCGCACGTTCTGCGCATAGCGCACGCCCAAGCATGCACGCGCACGTGATGCGGCGCACCCCAATAAATAGGGTTAAAAAAAACATTTGGAGAGGGCTGGCTGAGGTAGCCAATGGTGCCCCTCCCTTCTAAAATATCGAAGGGCACAGAAAAAAAAAATGGACCCACGTATTCCTTGTTGAATAGTCTTTTTCCCAAAGGACCCCAGCAGTGCATCTGCAAGGGTCCCAACATCTCAAGAGACGTTCAGCAAATTTTGTGTGAGAGTAGAGCAGGCCAGCAATATATGTTCTGGATCCGAAGTCAGGTCTGCTTTCCAGTAGCTCTCTCTTTCTTTTGTTCGTTTTTGTTCGTTTTTATACTTACTACCGTGGCTCTCTCTTTCTTTTGTTCGTTGTTCTACGAGCAGTGGCCCTAAGGGCCTTGCTCCGCTCGTCACTACTTGCACAAAAGACAAAACATATGGCGGCGTATAATTCGTTGTTCCAGCAGAAGATTCATTCCTCTCTTTCTTTGTTTCCTTTTCCTACGAGCAGTGGCGCTAAGGGCCTTGCTCCACTCGTCACCACTTGCACAAACGACAAAACATATGGCGGCGTACGGTTCCATGTTCTTGCAGAAGATTCATTCCAGTTTTGCACATTTGGTGAGTAGTGGAGGGAAGCCCTGAAAAGCACGTGGTGAGTTGGCCTGCTACTGCCCAGAAACTCGCGTGGTCAGTGGTCCCATAACTGCTGAAACACGGACCTTAACGTGAATCAACAGCATATATACTTGGTGTGCCATGACTCCAGCATAGCTATGAGCATTAGCTCGTTCATGGTGAGGTGTCCCTTGCTAATTATGTGCAGGGGCTTCTCGAGTAACCCGCAGGGGTTTTCAAATAAATGCTAAGGAGCTATTTGTTCTCTCTCTCTCTCTCTCTCTCTCTCTCTCTCTCTCTCTCTCTCTCTCTCTCTCTCTCTCTCTCTCTATTGTGTGTTCTCACACATAACAGCCGCTTTTT